ATGGATGGATGGATGGATGGATGGATGGATGGATGGATGGATGGATGGATGGAAGAAATCTTAAAAAACAAAGTGGTAAGAGCAGACATCATTGTGTTGTTCCTGATCTTTGGGGGCAAGCATGAAGTCTTTTCCCAGTAGGTATGAGATTATCTGTAGGTTTTCTGTAGATGTACTTTATCTGGTTGAAGTACCTTTCCATTCCTAGTTTGCTGAGTTTTTAAAGAGAATGAATATCGGGTTTTGTCAGATGCTTTTTCTGCATCTATTGAGATGATCAGTTTTTCTTTTTTAGATTAATTTGGTGAGTTACAATGATTAATTTTTGAATGTTAAACCAGTCCTGTATTCTTGGGATAAATAGCACCCAATAAATAATATTATCTTTTATGTATAGTTGGATTTGATCTGATAAAATTTCATCTAGAATTTTTTACATCTGTGTTCATAAGGGAAAGTGGCCTGAGTTTTCTTTTCTTGGGTTATCAGGGCAGTGCTGGCCTCAAAGAACAAACTTGAAAGTATTCCTCTCTTTGCTTTTCTGGAAGAGTTTGTGCGATTGGTATTTTTTTCTCTAAATGTTGGAAGGATTCACCAGTTAAATCCTGTGGACCAGAACTTTTCTTTATGGGGATGTTTTAAACTAAAAATTCAATTTTTTTTGCTGGGGCACCTGGATGGCTCCGTTGATTAAGCATCTGCCTTTGGCTCAAGTCATATCTCAGGGTCCTGGGATCAAGCCCTGCATCAGGGTCCTTGCTCAGCAGGGAGCCTGCTTCTCCCTCTCCCACTCCCCCTGCTTGCTCTCACTCTCTTTCTTTCTCTGTCTTACAAATGGATAAATAAAATCTTAAAAATAAAAAATAAATAGAAATTCAGTTTTTTGGAAATGGATATGTGACCATTCAGTTTATCTATTTCTTCTTGAGTTAGCTTTGGTAATTTCTGTCTTCCAAGGAACTTGGTCATTTCATCTGAGTTGTTAAAATTTTTGCCTAAAGTTGTTCATAATATTCCCTTATTATCCTTGAAGTATCTATAGAATTTGTAATGATGTCACCTCTCTCATTCCTGATATTGGTATTCTTGATAAGTATCTTCTCTCTCTCTTTTTTTTTCCTAACCAGTCTGGCTAAAGGTTTATCAATTTTGCTCATCCCAAACAACCAGGTTTTGATAACATATTCTCAATTGATCTTTGCTTTCTATTTCATTGATTTCCACTTTGACCTTTATTTCATTTCTTTTGGTTGTGTTTAATTTGCTTTTCTGTTCTAATTTCTTAATGTGGAAGTTGAGGTCATTGCTTTGAGACTTTTTGTATTTTTTAACATAGGCATTTTGTTTATGTGAATTCTGATATATTGTATTTTTATTTTCCCTCAGATCAAAATACTTTGTAATTTCACTTTGGATTTCTTCTTTAATCAGTGGGTTATGTAGAAGCATGTGATTTTGTTTCCAGATATTCAGGGATTTTCCAGTTAGGTTTCTGTTATTGATTTCTAATTTAATTCCACTGTGGTCAGAAGACATACTTCTCATGACTTAAATCCTCCAAAATGTATTGAGACATATTTTATAGTCTAAAACAGAGACTGGCAAACTTCTTTAAAGGGTCAGACAGTAAATATTTTAAGCTTTGTGGGTCCCATACAGTTTTTCCTGTCACATATTTTTTCCCTTTTTTTAAGAAACCTCTCAAAATGCAAAAACCATCTTTAGTTTATAGGCCGTACAAAACCAGGCTAGATTTGGCCCCATAATCAATAGTTTGCTAACCCTGGCCAAGAATATGGTCCCTCTGGGTAAAAGTTTCATGTACTCTTTAAAGAGAAAGTGTATTCTACTGTTAGTGGAATGTTATGAAAGTTGGGTAATATTGGTGGATAGCGTTGAATTTACTATATCCTTGCTATGTTTCAACTTGTCCTAGCAACTACTGAAGGGGGAGTATCAAAATCTCTGACTATAATTATAGATGTGTCTGTTTCTCCTTACAGTTCTATCAGATCTTGCTCTACATATTTTGGACCTTTTTATTCGGGGCATAAACATTTAGGATTGTTATATCCTCCTGATTAACTGATTCCTTTATTTATAAAATGACCTTCTTTTACCCTGGTAATATTCTTTGCTCTGAAATCTTACTTTGTTTCTGTTATGTTAATACAGCCCCACCAGTTTCTTTTGACTAATGTCAGCATCAGCATGGTATATCTTTTTCCATCCTTTCATTCTTAACATTCTTTTTTTTTTTTTTTAAAGATTTTATTTATTTTATTTGACAGACCGAGATCACAAGTAGGCAGAGAGGCAGGCAGAGAGAGAGGAAGGGAAGCAGGCTCCCCGCTGAGCAGAGAGCCCGATGTGGGGCTTGATCCCAGGACTCTGGGATCATGACCCGAGCCGAAGGCAGAGGCTTTAACCCACTGAGCCACCCACGTGCCCCCATTCTTTTTTTTTTTTTTTTTTTTTTTTTTAAAGATTTTATTTATTTATTAGAGAGAGAGAGAGAGAGCGAGCATGAGCACAGGCAGACAGAGTGGTAGGCAGAGGCAGAGGGAGAAGCAAGCTCCCCGCTGAGCAAGGAGCCCGATGTGGGACTCGATCCCAGGAGGCTGGGATCATGACCTGAGCCGAAGGCAGCCGCTTAACCAACTGAGCCACCCAGGCGTCCCACGTGCCCCCATTCTTAACATTCTTAAAGTGTGTTGAGTCTTGCTTTCTAGCCAATCTGACAATCTCTACCCTTTGATTAGGGTTTTTTAGGTCATTCACATTTAATGTGATTATTGATATAATTAGATTTAAGTGTCTTATCTTGCTATTTTCTGTTTGTTCATTTGTTCTGTGTTCCTTTTGTTGTTCCTTTTTTTCTTTTTCTGCCTTCTTTTGGATTACTTTATTATTCCATTCTTTTCTTCTCTGTTGGCTTATTACCTATAACAGTTGTTTTATTATTCTATTGGTTGCTTTAGGGTTTATAGTCTACATAGTTATCACGGTCTGCTTTCAAGTGAATTTATGCCACTTAAGATAATAAAAGAACCTTATAATATCTTATTTCTATTTTTCTCCTCCTGGTCTTCATGCTATTGTTGGCATGTATTTACTAATGCATGTTGTAAACCCCATAATACATTGCTATTATTTTTGTTTAAACAGTTGATTAGCTTCAAAGAGAATTAAATGTAAAAAGAGCTTAAACATTTACCCTGCAGTTACCTTTTCCAGTGTTCATCATTCCTTTATGTAGATCTGTATTTCCATCTGATATCATTTTCCTTCCGTCTGGATTACTTTCTTTAACATTTTTTGTAGTGCAGTCTATTGGCAATGATATTAAGTTTTCATTTCAGAGTCTTTGAAACACTCTCAGGTTCAAAGTAAGTAATCATCAATTAATCTACTCCCTACCATACACTACTATAAATAGCCTGGGCTAAAGTGTAAAAGAGAAAACTGAAAAGGAGCATATTGTACAACCATCAAATAGCCTAGAACTTTGCTCTAAAAGTCCAGTTTGAGACAAAGGAAACTTATAGTATGCCGGGATGCTAAAAGCTACTGAATAAAACACGAGGCATCTTCTTAGATATTAATTTTACTCAGGGATTTTGAAAAAATTTATAAGTATTGTATTTATACTAAACATAGGACTATTATATATAATGCAACATTTATATTAAATTTCAGACAAAACAAGAAACAAGAAAATCCCAGTTTGGGGGACGCCTGGGTGGCTCCATTGGTTGGGCAGCTGCCTTCGGCTCAGGTCATGATCCCAGCGTCCTGGGATCGAGTCCCACATCCGGCTCCTTGCTCAGCAGGGAGCCTACTTCTCCCTCTGCCTCTGCCTGTGCTCATTCTCTCTGACAAATAAAAAAATAAAATCTTAAAAAAAAAAAAAAGAAAAAGAAAACCCTAGTTTGGGATCAAGCTTCTAGGGCACTTTTTTCACTTTTCTGTAGTATGAACCACACTTTTGTGGAAAAAGTTCGAGAAGCCATGAACTTGATGATTATTCATGATTTACTAAAACCTCCCCTAAAATTGGATGCTGTCAACAAATGTAGGTTATTCATAGAATTTTTTTTATTTAATTATAATATGCATTTATGAATTGACCACTATATCCTATTATTCAGGTTATGAATCATTTCTTATTGTGCTCATGAAAACTACACTTAATTCCAAGTTTTTTAAATACCCATCATTATTCTTGTAAAGGGCTTTTACTTACCAATTCTCACTTTGTGGCTATCAGCATGCCTACATCATTAAGTACCTACAATACTGTCCAATTTTCTGATTCCCATGCAGGACAGAATAGGAATACACATTAATAAGCCTGTTAGAAATTAGCCAAAAACAAGAAAAATAGGCTGGCTATAAGATCCTACTGGAAAATCCACTTGTAAGTCTGCATCCTAAGGAAAAAAAGCAAAAATGTAGTTATTAGATTGTCCCGTTTACAAATAGAAAAACATATATATATAATGTACCCCCAATAAGAAACTGCTTAAATTATGGTATATACTTATTCTATTTGGAATACCTACTCAGCCATTAAAGGATATTATAGCTGAATATTTATTACTAGGATGAACAACAAACAGGTATGAAAATGTAATAAAGGGGGTTAACAGTGGTTATTTCTGGGTTTGGATTATTAATTTTTTTCTACATCTTGTTCATCCTGTTGTTTATTCTTTAGTAGCAACTGCATATAACAACAAACACCCAAAGTTTCCAAAAATACTAATTCAATATGAATACTTATTCAAAATGAAGAGGTCATCATTTGTCTATCCATTAATCAACAATTATTTGCAGTATTAAATAAGGCAAGTCCTTGTCCTCGTGACACTTGATTTGTGAGGGCAAAAAGGGCATATTCAGCAATCTTGGAATTTATTATTCCTCTTTTTCATTCTCATTACTTAATTGCCCAGTCATTCCCTCCCTTATTTATAGAGGACTTTGGCACCCGACTTCCAGTATCTGCATTTCCTGCCATCATGTGCCACTTCAGTGTCCACATGGACAACCCATCCAACAACCTTGAACTCTGGGACTCCACCAGCTTACAATCACTTCATTCAGTGATCCATACCCAGACCCATATTCTCAACCTTTGATCACTAGGAAATTGTTCCACAGCCTTAGACTTCAATACAATTGATCTCAGACCACAATCACTTATTGTTCCAAGTTTTTCACTCCCTTATTCCCTTAACACCTGCTTTCTTATTTTACCCTCTATTCCTAAACTATTCCCTTTTCTTTTTTTCAAACCACGATCTTCAGCATGGCTTCATATCTTTTCCTGTCTAGCTTAGTTTCCCAGGTACATTAGTCTCTCTTGATAATAACTTTGCCCCCTGGCTAATTCCCTCTCCCATTCCTTAGAGCATATATTTTTATGCCACTTTACTACAATTCAAACGTGCTACTTCACCTATGCCCTTTTCTTTAACATCTTCTTTATTAGAAAAAAAAAAAAAAGTCAAAACTGTAAGCTGTGAACCTCCTAACCTTCTTGTTCCACATTTACAAGTTATACATGTAACTATCTTTACTTACTTTCTTCTCAACTCAGGGAGGAGTATCCTATCTCTTTTTCCAGGTCAATTTCTTTACTGCTCCCTTGATCCCACATTCCCTCATGTCCTACAGATCTTTCTTTACCTTTATCCCTCTTCTCTTTAATCTCTTTTCTTCCTCTTCTGCTGTCTCTGCCTACATTTTATAAATAGTGAACTCTCTTCACTGGAGAATCTCCTCCTCAATTCTACAAACTATTCTCTATAGTGATCTGTTTCCTGTTTTGAAGAAGAAATAAAAAGCCTTGAAATAATATAAATCTATTGTAACTTTTCTCAATTTAAAGTACTTTTCAGGATGCCTGGATGGCTCAGTTGGTTAAGCATCTGCCTTTGGCTCACAGGATCCCAGGGTCCTGGGATCGAGTCAGTCATCGGGCTCCCTGCTAGGAAGCCCGCTTCTCCCTTCTTGCCTGCTGCTTCTCCTGCTTGTAAACTCTCTTGCAGGCAAATAAATAAATAAATAAATAAGATCTTTTTAAAAATAAATATAATACTTTTCAACCCAACACAGAATTCTGCCATCATCAACACAATGAAAATATTCTAGCAAACATTACAATGACAAAATTGCCAAATCCTATTATCTTTTTCAATTTACTTGACCTATCTGTATCTTCTGATCCTCCTGACTCCTTTTTTCCTGAGTCCTCCCATTGGCTTCTAGAACACTGAGCTCTGTTGGTGCTCCCTTCCACCCTTCTGTGATTTACTCTTAATTTTTTTTTTCCTGCCTTCTGTTACTTTGCCCATTTACTAATGCTGGTTTTCATTTCCTCTCACTATATTCAGTTTCTATGAGCAACAGCATCCAATTCCCCCAAAATTTCAACTACTACCTTTTTAGTGATATCTGCTTCAAGCTCCAACCTTTCTCCCAAGCCTCAGATGTACATGCTGAGCTCCCTACTGAACTTCTTTATATGGATATCCCAGTGACAATTTTCCATATTCAATATGTCTTCATTGAGTTTCTCATCTCCTTCCCCTTTCCCAGTTTTCTATTCCACATCCTTATACACACATACTCATAAGCCAAAATCCCTGTTCTCCATTTGCCTCTGTCCTGGTTAATTTTACCCCTATTGTACTCTACAACCAAGACAGGAACTAGAAAGTCATTCTAGATTCTTCCTCATCTCTATCCCATCCATTGCTACCCTAGTCCAAAATCTTATTATTTGCCCCCATGACTGTAAAACCATGTGAAACTACTTCCATTTACTTAAGTAATAATTATTACTATATATAATAATATGTGATAATAATAGAGCATATTTTACATTTCCCCTAGTATTTAAGAAATTACAACCATGTTACCATATTAGCAAACCATAAAGGCTTACACAGAAGCATAAATAGCCCCCACTATTCCCAGAGATCAGAAACCTTGTTTATACCCCCATGCCAAAGTTTTTATCACACAGCAGTTACTGCTTTACTATCTGTTCACTTTTGAATAAGGTAAACGTGGCACACTTAAAGGTAACCATAATAATCATTAAGCTGCATATTAAAAGTTAAATAAATAGTAGGATTCATATTAAGTTTATATAACAAGACATAACTTTATACCTTGTTAGTTCACCAGAATTTCTTTATTTATTTATTTTTTAATATTTTATTTATTTATTTGACAGAGAGAGAGAGAGAGAGATCACAAGCAGGCAGAGAGGCAGGCAGAGAGGGAGGAGGGAAGCAGGCTCCCCGCTGAGCAGAGAGCCCCATGCGGGGCTCGATCCCAGGACCCTGAGATCACGACCCGAGCCGAAGGCAGAGGCTTAACCCGCTGAGCCACCCAGGCGCCCCCAGAATTTCTTTAAAACATATACCACACACATACCTATAAACATATATCACATTAGGAATTAGATAAACTAACAAACTGAGTTTTCCCTATAAATTGAGCTTCCTTTCATATCCTATTCTACTGTTTTAAACAGCACTCAACCTATCCATGCTTCCAAAATTATGAAAGTGAACGCACCCCCATAGCCACCCTTGTAGAAAGTTAGTGTGGCACAGGTAGAACAGAAGGGTCCCACTGCCTCCCCAAATCTTTTCCACTTTGTTTTCTGATGCCTGGAAGATGGAACCATCTATTCCACAAGATACAAACTGCAATTTTCCCAAAGAAGGAAAACCAAGTATAATATATAATAATGTTAAATGAATAAAATCCAATAATACCAAGAAATGAAAGACAGAGTCTTCCTTTGTCAGTTGGGAAAAGAGAGTAAAGTAGGATATTGTTAAGGGGCCTTCAGAAACAATGCCTCCCAAATCATTCCTGATTTTTTTCAATATTGTTTAATGCCCAGGTATTTTATAACTGGGGGGATGTTCAAAAGTGAGTCCACAGGTCTAGTGTCAAGGGCAAATAGAAGTATTTTTACATCAAGTGATTTATAAGAAGCTTTGAACTCTATCATAATTAACAACTGTATTAACTAACATTTTTTATATCTAAAGGGTTAAATTTTAGGAACTTTCAATTTTACATTCCTTTCCTTTTAAAGGAAATATGTGTATAAATAAAGGTCAATGGGAGGATTATTAGGTTTGGTCACATGCTAAAATAATTTCTTGTCAGGGGCATCTGGGTGGCTCAGTGGGTTAAAGCCTCTGCCTTCAGCTCAGGTCATGATCCCAGAGTCCTGAAATCGAGCCCCACATTGGGCTCTCTGCTCAGCGGAGAGCCTGCTTCCCCTCTTTTCTCTCTGCCTGCCTGTCTGCCTACTTGTGATCTCTGTCTAATAAATAAATAAAATCTTAAAAAAAAAAAATTTCTTGTCAGGAAAAGTTTTGTATCCACCATAATATATTAGTAGTTTTGCAGTTTATTAAAAATATTGCAGTTAAGTCACATGAGCTTTTGGTTGTTTCGCTAATGGCATAAATATCTAATTGTTTTTTTGTTTTTGTTTTTAAAAAGCAGAGAGTCTGATGTGGGGCTCGATCCCAGGACCCTGGGATCATGACCTGAGCTGAAGGCAGAGGCTTTAACCCATTGAGCCACCCAGGCGCCCCAAATATCTAATTGTTAAAGAAAACCCTATGCTTATAAAATACATTCTCCCAAAAGGGGAAAAAATTAGTATGTATGATACTTCAAACCACTTATTTTTCTTTAAGAGTTTCCTTAAAATTATGTATATGTATTGTATATACCGTCCTGGGCTCAGTGGATCAAAAGTTAATAGAATAGGGTCATCAAGTAAATTACATGTTAACAGCAAAAATTAAAGGACTTAAATTAAAAACATAGGGCCTAATCCTATGATGAAGAAAAGTGAGGAAAAAATGTTCCCACAAGAGCTGTAAACTGTTCACCTTTTTAAAATAAATTACTTCTTCAGAGCTGCCTTAAAAAGTTAATTTGTTTTAAACACATAAGCATTTCTATGCCAGAAAAGAATGTGTTACATTTTATTCTCATTTCCCTATAGATTTGTGCTACACGGAAGAAATAATTTTTTACATATGAAGAATTGAAATATAGCATGACGTTCAACTGTCATAGAGAACTCATCACACATTGAGAACTCATCACACATAGTCGTATCTCCTAGAGACCAGAGGGTCTCAATTTTACTTCTGTTTACTAAAAATAAATAAGAAATGAATGATAATAGATTCCTGGTTCATTGTCCTCAACTTTCAGGACAAGGCTTGCCCCAAGTCAACAAAGTCTCTGAGAAGGTCATGAGTTAAAACTTTTAAAAGTTTTTACTCAATGTGAAGTTTATTATATTAAAACCCTTCAATTTTCTTTTGATAAAGGATCAATAGAGATCCATTTCTATTATTTACCAGTCCTTTTTATTATCTTAGATTAAACTGTTCCCCAAATACAAACATTTTAATGGCTAGGACAAAAAGTTAACTAACACTGGGTATATTTCAGACCATATATGGTATATGATTTACTGTTCTGGGTGTGTTTGAGAGGGGCCCTATTAAAATGGCGCATAACCAGAAGAAAGCCAAGATGGTGAAAGGTTTAACGTCATAGAGCCACTAAGGATGTTTGGGGGGCAAGGATTCAGTTGCCTTCATGGTTGAAGATAATAGTGATCTTATTTATTTATTTATTAAAATATTTTATTTATTTATTTGACAGAGAGAAACACAGCGAGAGAGGGAACACAAGCAAGGGGAATGGGCAAGGGAGAAGCAGGCCTCCCGCTGAGCAGGGAGCCCAATGCGGGATCAATCCCAGGACTCTGGGATCAAGACCTGAGCAGAAGGCAGAGGCTTAATGACTGAGCCACCCAGGTGCCCCCATATTTATGTTTTTAAGCTTCTTTATTTTTTTAGTAATCTCTACACCTAACATGTAGAACTCCCAACCCTGAGATCAAGAGTCTTATACTCTTCCAACTGAGCCAGCCAGGTGCCCTCATAGTGGTCATATTTAAAATGTTATCACACATAGATGGGAATGAATTTATTCTCAGTAGCTGCATGGGGTACTTTGAAAATGGGTAGCAGTTACAAAGGACATGTTTTAACTACTAAGATTCTATGACTCCAAACCTATTATTTTTAAAAACAACATTCCAAAACATTGTATTCAATATTTCATCTAAAGACAGCATGTTCACACGAATTCTTTAGAAAGTAGATAACTGCAATCAGTTGGTTTATCCTTTTCCAGGTATCCTTATTGGTAAAGAGAGTGAGGGGAACTCATACTTCTTCAATAAATATTAACCATTATTAACTGTAATTGAATTTTAGATCAGCCTTATAATCTGTGCTCAAGACTATAGAAGTAAAACTGTTCTTCATATGGGGAGAAAATCCCTTATACTTCTCTAACCTTAAATCAGAGTTGAAAATGCTATGTATGAATCTGTTCTGAAGGTTTCCATAATACTCACTCATAATACTATTTTTTAATTGAAATAAATTGATATTTGCCTAATTTTCTTAAACATTACAAGAACTTAAAGTATATAGATCATTCCTACCTAAGCTGTAATAGGATATGTCTGATTTGTTAAATCATTCTACATTTAATTTGCATCTTCTTGGGGCTAAAACTCTGACTTCCTGGTAAAAAATGCCAACTCAAGCAAGTTAGAGTTACCATGCCAGGCACTGAAGTTAATTATCAGAGCCCCCCAAAAGAGGTGATCTTACAGACATATAACCCAGATTCAAATTACACATAACTTAATTCTTCCATGTACCACTAAGATTATAGCTAATTTTCATCACTACTTAGTTCATTTTGCATATCTCTGGATACCTTAAGATCATCCAGTTGGATTTTCCATATCTCTCAAGTTCTACAACTAAAGTCATGCTAACAACT